AGACTGCCATGACAACACATGGTTATCATGAAGCCTTGGGTCTGGATGGATGCAATTGAGTGGAGACGCATACTAACGCACTTTGTTCATCAGTGAATTGAAACATCAATGACAGTAGCCAAAATTGCACAGAAAATATTGACTAAAACACTAAGTCATTAGCATCTTGAACTATATAATGCCTTTCGACTAATTCCAATTGATAAAAACAGAGGAGTTAGGCCAATTGGCAAAGGCGAAGTCATCCGCAGACTAATAGTTAGAATGATTACAAAGTGCTTAAAAAGCTGCTTACGTTACTCGCATCGAGTTACCAACTATGGCTTGGCCAAAAATTTGGCATCGAATATGCAATTCATACGCTTAGGAAGCAAATTGAGAAAACAGATTCCGCTTCAATATTACTGATAGACGCGGAAAATGCAATTAGTTCCCTAAACCGGAACCTGTCTTTATAAAACATTACAAATAAATGCCCTTCTATACTACCTGCAATACAGAACTCACACTCTCCATCCAAAATCTTCGTAATTAAAAAAGTAATCCTATCTAGAGAAGGAACCACACAAGGAGACAATAACAACGTACGGGCTAGCGACTTTACTTTTAATAAAACTAGTCAACGATAACAGCCTAACACAAAAATGGTATGCAGACGATAGGAACGCAGTCGGAAATTTAAAAAGCTTGCGGAGAGTTATTGACAACATTATCAAACACGGAAAACATTTTCGACATTATGTAAAGGCATCGAAACGCCAGCTCATTATAAAAGATAGAATAAACAATGTGGCGATAAAAGTATTCAAAAACACCGAAATTGACATGAGGAAAGGGGCCAGTATAGTTGGTTCTGTCATAAGATCCGAGAATGAATTTAAAACTTTCTTAGACACTCAGTTAGAAGAACATAATAAAATACTAAAAGAACTTGGCAAGATCGCGAAACCATTACCACAAAATGTGTACTCCTGTTACACCAAGAGTGTACAAAAAAAGTTGTCGTTTTTAGCTAGAATTACCCCCAATACCACAGAAAAGGTGGAGGCCTGTGAGAAGTTACTGCAGGAAAATTTGGAAAGGAAAAATTCCAAATTTAAGTGGTAAAGTTAATATCAGCCATCAATTTAGAGAAATCGCTTCTTCGCTACTGAAAAAGAGTGGTCTAAATATCAAGCTACCTTCTGACGATAGACACATACGACCCATTAACAGCTATATCTGAGCAGGAAAAAGATCTATACAAAAATTAAAACACTTAAAACTGAAAAAACAAACCAAAAGAGAACTAACATTTTGGACACTTTGAGCGACAATGAAAATTACGCACTTGAGCTGGCGTCCGAAAAAGGAGCCTCAAACGCGTTAAATGTACTGCCTCATAGCAGAAATAATTCTAAACTGAATAAATCCGAAATCCGCGATGGAATTTATCTCAGATATGGATGGGAACGAACCAACCTTCCATTCACATATGCATGTGGTGAATCTTTTGACCTTACTCACGCCCTTCGCTGTGCAAAGCGTGGATACATCCACGTGAGGCATAACTAAATCAAAGATACCTTTGCCACCCTCATGAGCGAGATTCGCTTTGATGCTGAAATCGAGACGAAACTTCAGTCGTTGCAAGGCGCGAGCTTTGCCAACAATTCAACCACAACCCGCTTCAAGTCTTCAACCCGCTCACAAAAACTTCACGAGGATTACTGAAAGACGCCTATAAGTACCATGAATCACAAAAAAAATGAAAATACCAACAGAGAGTTCTACAAATCGAACAGAGCAGCTTCTACCAACTCATTTTTGGCTGCACTGGTGGTGCCGCACCAGGAGCTACTCGGACATGGCAGCGCATAGCTGAAAAACTTAGTGAAAAAAGGCATGAAAGCTACGCAGAAACAATAAACTACATAAAAACTACGATAAGCTTCGCGCTGCTCAGGAGCGGTATCTTTTGTATTGGGGGTTGCATATCACTGCGTATGACGCAAATATACACAATTCAGTTAGTGCTGTTGTAGAGGAAGGATGTTTGAAGTAAATAATTTTAAAGACAATGCATTAAATGCTGACTTGACTTAATTCCTGCAATATTGTTTAATGATGTATTTATATAATGCTGGTATGGGCCCTATCCAGCTTGTGCACGACCGTACCTAAGCATGGGCCCTTTTTATATTTTACTTTTTTTTGTCGGCTGAGTTGCCATATCGCGAATTTTTCTTAATTGTTTTTTAAACAACTTTTCTTGTAATTTGTTTATCTTTACAACCCTGAATTAGTATAATTGCCCCCTTCTTTTTTTATTTCCTGCTCAAAGGCTTTATTCGGCCTAAGTTGTTTTAGTTTTTGAATGCGAAACGAATACAACACCTTTTTTTGTTTCTGGATTGTGGTACTTTTTTAGAATAGCACAACTTTATGGCTCAAAAGTTTTATTGAGTTATACTTGCAGCTTATCGTGTGTTTTCCAAATTTTGTTGGCTTATTGTTTCTGATACTTATTAAACGTCGGTGAGTGTGGCCGACATTGTAGCTTTTTCCAATTTTTCAACGTATGCGATTAGCGAGCGGGATGGTAAAGTTCTCAAGTTTGAACCAGGGGTGCTTACCCACGGAGCCGCATTACCGGTTAGACGAAAAAAACTATATACGTACTTCCGGTGGTAGTTGAATTAAATTAAATTTTTTTTTAAGTGAGACTCATTTTGATTGGACGCCTGTTAGCTAACAAATTTCCGGAAATCTTGTAGAGATTTGGTTGACTGATACGTTTACTCTCATTGAATTAATTAACAACAAAATTCCGGCTACTTTCCTTTCTACCGCATGGTTTCTCCGGATGGTGGTTAGTGGAAAGAGAGGGAAGGAAGAGGGAAGTCATAAGTAAGGGGTTGACCTAAGCAAAAAAAAATGTGTTGAATAGTACTTGTCGGTTATTAAACATGTTTTTAATGTAATAATAAAGGCATCGAATTGCCAGCGCATTGTAAAAGAGAACTAACATTTTGAACACTTTGAGCGACAATGAAAATTACGCGCTTGAGCTGGCCTCCGAAAAAGGAGCTTCAAACTCGTTAAATGTACTGCCTCATAGCAGAAACATTTTTAACCTGAATAAATCCGAAATCAGGGATGGAATTTATCTCAGATATGGATGGTAGTAAACAAGGGTTTTTCAATCTGGTAGTAGACTTTTTTCTCCCTTTTACAATTTTGTTCACAGGACTCGTCTGGACTCATCTCTACCTTGTTTCATAATGTGTTCAAAATTCATATCGTTCCCGGCCAACTTAGCCCGGGGGGTGGGGGGAGGGAGGAGGGGGGCAACGAGTATGCCTGGGACGGCAAAAGTCCTAGATTCGAGTCTGATCAGGACCTGTTATTTAGATGCGCAAATTTTGCTTCAATTTTGCTTGTAGTAATTGATTTACGCCTGTTATTTATAATTTTACTTACCTTGACGTCTACGTTCCTTGAGTTTTTTGTTTCGCTAAAAAACATTCCTCGGCCCATTTTAGTTCGGCCTATTTTCATCGGCTTTATGACATAGTTTTGGGTCGTTTCAAGAGAAACACAATTTGAACCCTCCTCTCCGCGTTTTTCAAGATGGTTGTACTTTAACCAATGGGTTTGTGGAAAGTGTGGGGGATTATTTGCCCATATATTTTTTTCTGGTTTTCTAAAAAACTGCACCTCTCATATATGAGTTTTTGGTTTCAATAAATAGAAGTGTTTTTAAAAAGTTCCTGCAAAAGTAGATTCGTCCAAATTTTTCTACGCATAAAGTTCTGGCCCTCGGATTAGTCAAAGTTTTGATTTTTGACTTTTTTTGTGAATCTTTTCGCCTTTTCGAAAACTAAACTCTCAAACCTGATATTGTGGGTTCAATGGAAATAATGGGTAGTGGGAAGCTCTGTATTAGCGGACACTCACAAAAAATTACAAGAAGTTATCGCCCTCGCAAAAGTCAAGTTTTTGATGTTTTTTGACCGTTTTTAACTTTTTGAGTTTTCTCGAAAACTACTCTGCCATACCGTATCTGAGATTGTGGGTTCAATTCTCAGAACGAGTTGTGGGAAGCTCATTTACTTATGCGACTACGCCCAAATGTTTTGACCTTCGGAGAAGTAAAGTTTTTGATTGTTTGACAGTTTTTTGTTTTAAGTTTTGACTTTTCTCGAACATTACCCTCCCGAATCTGATTTTTTGGATTCAATCGAAACTACAGGTTGCGTGAATCCTTTCTGCATAAGCGACTAAGCATCATTTTTCCAAACAAAAAGGTATGATTCTCGGATATTTCAAGTTTTTGGTTGGCTAAACTTTTTTTGGACTCTTCTCGCTAACTATCCTGCCAAATCGGATCTAGGTATGATCGAATGAACAGGTTTTTGAAAGCTTACTATTATATTTGAAACCTTTATGGGCTGAAAACTTTATCGGATTTTGAATAGTCTTTAGACCGTTTTGTATAAATTGTATGAAGTTTACAAAATAAAATGTGTGATGAAATGTTCAATTGAACCGGTTGCGATAATTGATACTGCAGAAGCGGCGACTCCTTAATTTTTTATAAGATAAACTTTATCTCCTTGGGAAGATTGAGTGTCTCAAAGTTTTTTAATCTTCTCGCTTATTTTAATAGAGAAACAACTAAGGTCTCAGGCAATGTTCAAATTTTGAAATCACATTTTTCGTGCCGCACTCATTCATTGTCAAAGGCGTACCTCCAGCGTTAGCTGTTTTTTCATTGATACATACAAAAATCTTTGTTCGCCTAGTTTTTTTCAACGTGTTTTTTATTTATGTTGTATCGGAAGTGGCACGAAGCTCCGTTTCGGCTCTGTGTTACTGTAAAAATTGCAGATAACGTTTAATTAGAAAATCACATCGGCCAAGGACTGGTAACTCTCAAAACAATGTGCGGCATCAAATTTGAGTCGTCCTCAAATTTCCTTTTGTAAATGACTTGCATACAACTATCATAAAGTAACTGATTAAAAGGCACTATATTAACCATTGATAAATTTGCTACATTATTTTATAACAATTACTGCGATGGTAACAGAAGTCCTTTGCACGTTCCAAATCCAATTCTCCTTCCTTCCGCGTTTTCGCAATATCCTGTAATCATCACCTCATCGCCGTCCTGTAAAAATTTTCTGTTGCAATCGAGCTGACCTAGTTTCACGTCTTTCGTGCCTCGCCAAGACAGTTCGAGCATGCTTCCATAGCTTTCTTCTGAGTCACCTGAAATTGTTCCACTGGCTAAAAGATCTCCGGCTCTCAAATTGCAGCCATTGCTTGTATGATGAGCAATTTGCTGTTTCAGTGTCCAGTAGAGGTATCTGAAGTTGGACTTGCAAACAGTTCCGTGTTCAGTCATGCCTTCAGGTTTGATGCCAACCGTTAAATTGATATCGAAGTTGAAAAAGTCCTCGTGCTGCAAATAAGGTAATGGCTTCGGTTCTTGTACCACGTTGGGAACTTTGAACGCCTCAAGAGCTTCTATCGTGATGACCCATGGGGAGATTGTGGTTCCCATTGATTTTCCCAAAAATGGGCCAAGAGGGACGTATTCCCATTTTTGAATGTCACGTGCACTCCAGTCATTCATGAGAACCAAACCAAAAACATGATTCTGTGCCTCGTGTATGGGTATCGGATCCCCTAGTTTATTACTCTTACCGCCAATGAAACAAGCCACTTCCAATTCGAAGTCCATCAACTTGCTTGGCCCGAAAGTAGGAGTCGTTGGCGCATCGTTTGAAACCGTCTGACCTTTGGGTCTTCTTATGGGCGTTCCAGAAACAACCACGGAAGATGCGCGTCCATGATAGCCAACGGGAAGTTGTACCCAGTTCGGCAACAATGCATTGTCTTTTCCTCTAAAGAGCGTTCCCACATTAGTTGCATGCTGCTTGGATGAGTAAAAATCTAAATACAAAGGCACAGAATATAATGAGAATCAAAATACAACAAGAATAATGTCAGGCATCATCTTGACAAATCAGATTATAGTTGCTCCCAAACTCAGCTATTTTAGTTAAACTCAGCTATTAACTCAGCTAAACATAAGTTGAACCAAGTCATTTTTGGACCAAGTGATTTTGAACAACCAATTGGAGTTGCAAAAAATTTGGAAGAAGACAAGGCTAAGTTCTCTGTTCTTTTAGTATCTCAAGATTTGCTATAACAAGGTTTATTTAAATCATATGCTCACCTGTGTAATCGCCAATAGCAGCTGGCAAATGCATTTCAACTTTTTCTATCTCCACTAGAACCTGTTCTTTTGCAGTTTCAGTATCGATTGCTGAGTTCTTCTGCAAAAGTCGTTGGATCTCTTTACGAGTTTCAATCCATACATCCCGACCGCACTCCATAAAAGCATTGAGATTTTCTGCCTCGAAGACGTTTTTGCATTCTAATAGTCGAGGATGTTGAAAGTACTTCGACAGTTCAGACAAGTCTAGAACATAGTCGCCTATAGCTGAACAGATTCGTTTCGAACGTTTGAGATTACCTGAGGAAAAGACTCCAAACGGAATATTATGAATGGTAAAATCGGAATTTTGATCCACGTGGATAATAAGTTTCGACATTTTTGCTAATGTGGTTTAAGGTGGTAGCAAAAAATTGTCTACTAGGAAGAAAATTTATATTTTAAACGATCGAGTTAAGTTTCAGTGCTTTTCTACTTGAATGCGCTGATCTAGATTGTAGTATTTGTCTGCAAGTTTTGTATGCTTGCTTTGGTGTGTTTTGTGAGTCAATTTGGCTCAAAGTTTGTTTTGATCTCGAACTTAGCTACGAAGATTCAAACAAAGACTAACACCCTGGGAGGTTGTTTCTCTGAACCACGCCTCCTAAATTGAAACACTACATTCATAATGCTGAAAAGTTTTGAACAAGTTATTATATGAATCTCAAGTGGTAATTAAAAAATGACTTTGAGATTAGGTCATCTATTTCAGATTGTGAACATGGGAGATCTTCTGGCTCTCGTTACTCCAAAAATCGATTGGTATCATGACTTCAAAGGGCAAAAGAATGCAGAGAGATGGTTCCAAGTCATTCACATAGTGTTCGCTATCTTCGGTTTTACTTGGGGCTACATGTTGCAGAGATTCTCCATCACCGTTTACGCTGTCATAGCCGCTTTCATTGTCAGTTCAATCGTGACCCTCCCACCATGGCCGGTGTTCAGAAGGGACCCACTGAAATGGCAGCCGAAATTAACTGAAAATAACTCGGCGAAAAAGAAGCCGAAAACTAAAAAGGATATGTAGCTGCAAAACTTATCTCTGAAAAGCCTGCATTTCCAACTTAGATACGGAAACTTTCAACCTTATCTCACGCGTTGTGGTGTTAATTTAAACATTGCCGTATTGATAAAATTTACTGAAAATTGCAATGATATATATTATTTCGATGCTTTAAATGTCCGTTTATATTTCTTTGGTTTAGTTGTCAATTCAAAGGCATAAATTTTTATTGTTGTGGTTTTCCGGTTAATCATAATATGAATGTTGGTTTGAGCTTTCTTTTAACGTCAAGAAAAGTTTTTTTACACAGGTGAATATAATTTAGCTGCTCAAGTAATCAATTCTTCTAATTTTTCAGATTAAAATGGGGTTGGTCTCTCTGACCGCGATTACATGTGCGTTTTTCTTACTGACTTCGATCGGTCAACTTCATCAAAGGCAAAGTAGTCAAAGCAATGATGACTTTGCGGAGTTTGATGACGAGGAGTTTGATGGCGTTGCGCCTCCGGAAGACACCGGGAAACCAGAGGACCACATACCTTTGGACGGATCCAAAATTCAAAAAGGTTTTGAAGTATTATCTGAGGTCTGAGTTTCGCCGTTACCGCGGGGGGTTAAGGATTGCTCTTTTCGGAGACCTCAGAAAACAATTTTCTTTAGAAAAGTCAAAAATTTCTTAACGTTTTGAAAATCACCGCGAGAAAATGCGAACCGCTATTGCCGTTACCTGTTTGAAAATTTGAAGATACTCTCATTTTAAACTAAATTAAACCATCATTACTTTCAGCTCTGGGATGGGCGCGAATGAAAGTAGTCGACCTTCTATGATTTGAAAACTTTTTTGCAATTATTGGTGTTTAATTACAGAAAATTGCTCGTACCTGCTCATAAACCTTAAAGCTGGTGTAATTGAAATGCGTTAAACTAATTCAAGGTATTAGTTGATTATTCTTGCGAGAGCAAGTGTCGTGTAATCGGGAACTAGACTTTTCCCCCGTTAACATCTTTTCTTACAAATCTGCAGTCGCTTCATTAGCCAACCTCATCAGATTGGAGACTCCTCACGTTTTGGATTAGAGGTAATGCGGTTGCCTTTGCACTCTAAGATGTGGTGTTCGAGTCCCGTCCGGACCTTGCTGTTTTTCCAGTATGTTTGAAAATTAAAAAGTCTTCGAAAAATTGAATTGTCGCACTTTATTTGTCTGCTTATATTTTTTCGGCTTAGTTGTCAGTTGCCACATTAAGTAATTTTCTTGTGCGGCCAGAAGTTTTGATCGTAAATGCTATTATTTTTGATTTATTCGGGTAATTTATTACTCTTGCAAATCGGGTATTAGACTTTTTCCCGTAAATAAGTTTGTTCACGGGAATCAGCTCTACTGACGCCTTGATTCATAATCTATTCAAATGTTTTAGCGTTTCTGGCCCTTTTAGTGTGGAGGTAACGAATATGTCTGGGACGCAAATGTCCGTGTTTGAATCTGACTAGGACCGGTTTTATTTTCAAACTTGTCATATTCTGTTTCGAATAAACTGTTTGGCCAATTATTTGTCTGCTTCTGTCGGCTTAGCTGCCGCATCTTCGAATCGTTTTTTTTATTGCTGCGAGCTTTTTTTATTGGTGCTTTTAGTGTTTGATTTACTTGGAATTTTACTTTGAATTTCCTTTTTTTTGGCTCAATATTTTTTGGCCTGTTTTTTATTGGCTTTGTGACCCTATTTTTGGTCGTTTCAAGGGAACACAATTTTTACTATGGAACACAATTTTTACTGTATGAGTTAGTTCTATTACCACTCGATTTGATGAAGTTTCTTTTTTTCGGCTTAATAGTTTCAACTTGTTTTTATATCCACTTAGTAGCCTCTTTTTGCGTGTTTTGATGCGCGACAAGTTTTTTGTGTATGTGTGCTATAAGGGGAAGGGGACATTAAAATTATACATTAATTCTGAATTTTTGAACATTTCGGCTTGAAGTGTTCTCATCAGATATTTTCGGCTTTGTCAACGCTTGGTTAATTTTGTTCCGATGCTGATTTTGCATTCTATTGTTTGGACATGTTTGGTTGACCGCTATCTTCTTTCATTGCGATAGATTAAGTTGTATCGCAAGTGATGTGAAGCTCAGCTCCATCTCTGTGTAAAAGTAGTAGCACTAACTCAAAAATGTTTTCTTTCGTTTTTTTTTCACTGAAAACGCTTTTTCGGCCCAAATGGTTTCGGTGTAGGTTTTATCGGCTTAGTTACTATGATTTATCTTGCTATGAGGACAAAAATGAATTTTTTTTATTGATAAAAAATCAGGCAGTGGTGTTGAAAAAGTTTTAAAATTTAATTGCTCTAAATTTTTTGGCCACTATTTTTTCAAACATCTTTTTTTCTGCCCATTGGCGTCTACCCACGCATTGCCGGCTTAGTAGTCGCTTGTTCAAAACATAAAGTTTTTTCAATGCAGTGTTTTGTGTTTCTTCATTTTTTTTCTGATATTATTTTGTTGAATGTCTTTTGCTCTGTGCTTGCGTTGTATCGCATGTAATGCAAAGCTCCTCTACGCCTCCTGTGTTTTAATTATGTCTAGATAAAAACTTGCTTTTTTTACCTAGTTAGTTTTGCTTGTAATGTTTTAATATCTTCTTAAATTTTGAAACAGAGGCAACTGTGAAGGAAAGGGGTCCGAAAGACGACGACGTTGAAGAGAAGAAGGCGTCTGTGAAGAGTGGAACTGCAGACAAAGATTTCAAAGCTTTCGAAGACGATGTGGACGAAGACGATGAAGTCCTGATTGAAGAAGAGGTTTGTAGAAAAGTGTTTGACATGACTATCAAATGGTCGTAAGCTCTCGATGCTTCTACCCTTGCGATAAGCTAGGGCATTGCAACCGGGTGCTAGATTTTTTTTCCCGTAAATAAGTTCGTTCACAGAATGGTCAAATGGTAATCAATCAGCTGTTCAATATCCACTGATGAGGTTCTAGCATGGTCAGTGTATTGGTAGCATATATAGTTTGAGCGAAAATTATTATATGATAATAATTAGACCGGTACAAGAAGTTAAAATAAAAGTTAGCTAACCTCACATAACCTCAATTGAGTTGGAAAAAAAAAAAACTTAACTTGAAGTTTTTGTATTTTGTGAAAAATTTGGTTGTGCAGCCTATCATGTTCTTTCTGGTGCAGGCAATTGTATTCGTGCGCTTTTCGCCTAGTTTTTGTATAATGTTTCAGATTCAAGTGTTTTGACTACATCTGATTGCTTTTTAAATTTTCTTTCTAGCTTAAATTGTTGAATGCGTCTGAGGTTAAGCAAGTATAAAGTGCTAATAAATCCAAAAAAATCAGTTCAGAAATGTGTGATTTACGAAGGTTTCATAGCTTCTCTTATGAGTAGTTTAATTCATTGCAGCCAAGTTAGTTGAAGCTAAATTTGTTGCTTGTAGATTTTTAGTTGTTTGTTTGCTGACATGTAAAAAAACTCGCGAAACAAGAAGCTCTTGGACGTCAATTAAATGATTTGAAGTTGACATCAAACTTCTCTCTAGGTATAGAAGCGCGTGCCTTAAGTTTTTTTCGGATTTTTGTTGGCATCAAAGTTAGTTTTGACAAAAAATAAGTAATTTTTTTTCGAAGTAATTTTTTTACTTTATTTATTACGCTTGCGATTAGCAAGCGTAATCAAATTGGAATATAGAGTTTTTTCGGGTTAACAACTTGTTAACAGAATAACTTGTATCTTTGTTCATAATGATTTTAAACTTCTATGCGTGCCCGATACTTAAATTGGAGGTGAAAAATACCCCTGAGTAGTAGATGTTGGAGGTGATCGGGGGGGGGGGGGGGGGGGGAGGAGGAAGCATGGAAAACCCTATGTATTAAGATACGTTATAGACTTCGGGTCTTCCATGCTATGTATTAAGGTTGGGTATAGAGTCTACAATGTATTAAGATAGGGAATACCGATGGTAAGGTTTTATGGTTTGTGTGATGGTAAGATAATGGTAAGAAAATCGTAATTTTTTTAGTTTTTGTGTGGAAATGTCTAGTTTTTTTCGCAAAATGTTGGCGCGTGTTAACTAATTTGTGAATATCGAAGGTTAATTACGTGTAGGTTGTGTAATGAAGGACTTTTGATTAGTTTTTTGATACATGGTAAGTCAATGGTACGAGTTTTTGGGTAAATTTTTATGAAAAAATTTTCAAAAAAAAATTTCAAAAAACGATAAGGTTAGCTATTATTTGACCTAATTTATTAAATAATCTTACTTTCTATCTAATTGAAACGATAATTTTACTTTCTATCTAATTGAAACAATGCTGAAACCTACTGAAACTTCGAAAAAATTCAAATTTTTTGAGAAAAAATTGCAAAAATTTCAAGTATTTGGAAAAAATTGCAAAAATTTCAAGTATTTGGAAAAAATTGCAAAAATTTCAAGTATTTGGAAAAAATTGCAGAAATCTCATAATTTTGGCTAATGTTTTGTTGCTTTTGATCTAATTTTAAACATACTTTTACTTATAGATTTTAAAAATAAGCTAAGACTATATGTTAATTGGCATTATGTTGAGACAATGATACAAAATTTTGAATAAAAAATGACTTTTTCAACAATTTTTTCTCAAAATATTGAAATACGATGAAGTTCACCTTAATTTGAGCTAAATATTTGGTTATACAATGCTCTAAACACTGAAAAGAAGGTTCATAGTAGCAGAATCAATTTTGAAACTTCCGGAAAACAGTAAAATTAGTCGTAATTTTCGAGAAGGTAAAATAAAAACTAATCAAATTTACATGAAATTTTCCATTTCGAACCTTTACTTTGGTTTTTAACTGTTTTTTTTGTCCAGTTCAGGGATTATTTTTAGGAATCTCAATTCAAATGAACATTAAGGGTAATATCCTATGAAATTTCTAAATCAAACTCCATGATTCAACTCCTCCTCATTTTTTTTCTCATTGAATTACCCAAATTTGTAAAAAAAATTACAACTTGTGAGAAAATTTTCATTTTAAAAATTAGAAATTTCTGATTATTGATAAAAAATTAACGGTTTATTGCTAAAATTGTTTAAAATGGGATAAATGTTTCTCAAAAATTTATTCGATATTGACTCAAATTCAACAAAAACTTCTTCATAACTGATGCTTATCTCTCTGTTGCTTCTGCAACATAACTTTCAAGATTTTCCGTAGAGTTTTTCCATGTTTTAAAGTTATTCTTGCTTTCTGTTTAAAACATGTTTTCGCTATTGAACACACTTTACTAGAAAATTTAGTCAAAACTGGAGAATTTAGGAGGAAAATAGTATCAATTGAACGAACAATTTGCTAGCAGAGATGAAATTAGAACTGATACCGTATGATAATTACAATAAAAAATGTTAAAATCTTCCTCGAGGTTCCCCTGTTCAGTTGCTATTGTAAACTATTTAAGCAAAATACACATTTTGGAATCATTAACTATCACTTTTCTTGCAAAATAGTTATTAACTCGCTTTTTTTCTTAATTTATGACGGAAATTTTCTCAAAAATACCCAAGTGAGAAAGAATTGATGCTAGTTAAAGCATTCAAAAATATATGTACACAATGAGAATATAAAGGTGTATTTTTACGATCTAAGAACAAATTAGGAGCAGCTCTATTATTTATAATCTGAAAATCTCCGGAAATACGCAAGAGAACCTAGTTCCTAACATCTACAATATAAAAACTTCTGAAAGAGCGAGTCTCAAAAAATTGATTTAGCAAAGCAAGGTGTAAACTGGAACAATTGTGTAATTTTCCGATTTTTATAAAGAAAAAAAATCTATGTAGTAAAAATGTAGTAATGTATTGTATATAGTGTTGTATATTCTATGTAGTATTGTGTAGCAAGGAAAAGTAGATCTTGAATGCAAGTTTTCGATTTATGCTTTATGTATCTTCTTCCAAAAGATGTCGAATTGGGTTTGCTTTTCAAAAATTATCTTGAAAACATTTGATCTTTCATATAAAGTACCAAATATATCGAATGATAACAATTTTTTCTAATGAATTACGGATAAATATAAGACTTTGAGAATTTTAATGTTGGATTTTTTTTCTCACGATATACTTTATAAGCTAAATTTTAGTAAAAGTATCTCAAATCTCTTAAGGATTAAATTGAGTTTCTATCTCATTTTAGCATTTTCTCAGTTTCTGCTTCATCTACTTTCTACCAAATGAATCCAATTTGAGCAAATTTTTACTTGAAAATTGAATTTTAGATGAAAAAATGTATCGTTTCAACGAACGATCAATAATCCGAAGCTGAATTAATACCATAAACCCTTTACTAAAAAGCTTTAAAGGATTTTCTCAAGCTCATAACTGTATAATGCTGTTTTAAATCTGAATTTCTTTTTTAGAATAAATTTTTAGTTGGAATGATGTGTATCATTATCTTGAAACTTTCAAAGTTGAGCAAAAAATACATTTTTTCCAGGTCATTTATCAATTTCTTTTCTGAAATTATCAAAAAATCAATAGAAAAACATTATTCTTAATAAGTCAAACCACATGATCTGCTTAAAAAGCTCTGCTCTATGAACACTTTTACAAGCACAAAACAAGGAAAACTTTAAAATAGCAACTACAAAAAACCTTTCAATTAGTTGATGTTTTCCAAATATCCAAGTTTTACAATTTTTAGGTGAATACTTAAATACTCATTAGCATATGTTATGCACTTTACTACAAATTTATCACAACAAATCTCCGCAAGCTTGTAATCAATGGAGTTTTTACTGTTGATTAAAAGTTTTCGGATCGAGTTCCATGGGAAGCTTCACGACGATTTGGACTCGATTTTTGCTGTCTTTAACATCAATCAAAACCTTTGAATAAAAAAATAAATGATAGTTCAGGTAATGTAATGAAAACACTGTATAATTACTGACTTGATTTGTTACAATTGCTGAGACTTTTCAGATTCAGTAAAAACTAATAATCATAGTAATTTCTAAGTTTTCCCTTTTACCTTTTCCTGAAGTGTGTTTGGAGTCTGCTGAGCACATAATTTAATATTATGCTGAGAATGCTTCTTCTTGAAATGATTAGCGAGTTCCTCGCTGCTATAAGTATAAAAATTACAATTAGAACACTTCAAAACACCACATGTTCTACGATGTCTTGATGCATCTTTGTGAGTGTAATCCCTGCCACATTCAAGACATGCAACTCTTTCGTTTCTATTGAGTGAAGGCATCTCAATAGTAATGAAAAATTAAATGGGAGATTTAAAATGTACCAAATTTTTAGATATGGTGAGTTGAATAGCCTGAAAAAATGAACAAAAGTAAATAAAAACAGCAAACTTATTAACCAATTGTTTTTAACGAGAAAGAAAATCAGAATGAATATGCTATTTAGCCTAGCTGAAATAAAAATCATCCAATCTAACCATGGAATTTTTAAAAGTATCAACCAATCAGAATCGAGCATTAATTACAAGGAAACTTTATCTTTTCTGATATCAACCAATCAGAATTGAGCTTCAATAGTCATGTAATTTTCAACAAATTCAATGTCAACCTATCAGAATTGAGCTTCAAAAGTCATGAAATTTTCAAGAAATTTAATGTCAACCAATCAGAGTTGAGCTCTTTTTCTCATGAATTTTTCAACAATTTCTTCAAAATGTATTGATTTTGAGGATACTTTCACAGACATTATTTGTGTTAATAACCAATCAGAATGAAGTAATCACAGATTTGAAAAAACTTTGTAGATCAGAACCAGACTATGTTTATGAAACTTCTTAATCAATAA